ACAATATTAAAGCTCATTATGAGCATCAAGCTCATGTGTTGCATTTTTTATTAGTTTTTCCTGGCTCTTTCTGCTCTACAGGGGCCCCGCAACTTGCTTCTTTCCACTCCGACTGAAGGCTTCCAGACCCATTCCCCTGCTCCCTTAGTCTTACCCTATTACTTTTAACCCTCCCTATTCATTTCATCATTAATCCTTTATTTCTGTATATCTAAAGCGTAATCATCTTCTGTTTTGTTACCTATCCTACCAAACTTATCACTCACCCTCCCATTCGCTCTTGGGACAGCCTATCAGCGGATACCAAGGAAACCTCTGGATGATGTCATGTGGTGCGGCTCCTGTTCCAAGACTGACATCAGCTGGGGAGAGAACTCCTCATTCTTTCCAGCGAATGACCCAACATTTTTGGCTCCTGTACCCACACCTCCTGTTCTGACCTCCCCCTCTCCTCCAGCCCTTCTCATTTCAGAACATTATTTTGTTTTCTGTACACTCAAAACTTCCCTCTGATGTCTTCCCCTATAACTGTCGAACAGGCCGAATATATCTTTCTGTGATAAAGACTCCACCATATCATTGTCTACATTCATGGAAGCTGCTGTCTGTGCTTTTGGCCAGACAAGAAGTGCTGTGTTTGCACATCTCCACCTCAGTTGCTTCAATTCAACCGCTTTCCCCTGTGGATTAACTCTGAGTGGGGCCAAGTGGTTCATCTGTCCCACTTAGGTTACCTCAGACCAACCACAGGTCGCCATTTCACTGAATGCTACTTACAACTAAGGGATGGGTATTAAATTATCTCTGATTGTTCTTGGCAAACTCAGTTTGAAACAACATTGAACAAGGAAATCAGGGGTACATTTAGAATCTGGAGTCTTTCATGCAGAGATAAAGAGACACTAGAAATACATCCAAACAGAGAAACAATAATATCTAATCTGTACCCACAGGTATATCTGTCAGAGAAGTACCCTTTAAGGTGATTTAGCTACTCTTTATATTGCATTTTGTTATGCTAATGTTAATTTGATAGTTTTCAAAACACCTTAATCTAATGTTGGTTGATGACACGCTTATTCTCTTAGAATGACCAGTCTACCACTTTTGTGTAGATTTTGCAAAGACCAGCAGGGGTCAGCATTCCAGGTTGCATTCCCAAACATAAAACGGCACCTTGCTTTAACTCTTGTGTGAATATTTTCCGGAGCTAAACATATAACAGAAAATAAGTGAAGGTTTAATCGAAATTAAAAAATATGAGGAAGAGAATGTAAGGGTATGAGAGTAAACAACTTTCTAAAAGACTTCATGTTAGCTAGCTATGTCAACCAAGCTAAATGCTACACAGGCTACACTCTCATTTGCTGTTTCAGGGAGTTTGTTCATTGAATCAAAGAACTGTTAATCCTAATGAGAAGACCGTAGCTGTGGAAAGCACTCTTAAGCAGATTTAAACCACAAAATGATGATCTCAGGGGTGACACTGGTCAGCGTAACCAATATTTCAACAATCAAGGCGATCTTTGACTTGCTTTCAAATTAATGGATAAAATGAGTGTAGTCATTTTTATTACATTCATTTTACATTAAATCTGCTTTAAACACACACATAACTTTATGCTTGCACTTCCGCATTTCAGTGTATGAGGAGTAGCTCTACTGATCCATGGTCATCATCTCAAAACAAGTGAAAACTTCAAGAAGATATTTCACACATGGCCGGCCCTCCCTGAGCCTGGTTCTCCAGGAGGTTTCTTCCTGTTAAAAGAGAGTTTTTCCTTCTCACTGTTGCCAAGTGCTTGCTCATAGGAGGGTCATGTGATTGTTAGGGTTTTCCCATTAATATTGTAGGGTCTTTAACCTATGATATAAAGCAGCTTATACTGAATAATGGCGGCAATTGATAGCATTCAAACAACAATCATAGAGAAAAAGGGAAAAAACAAAAGATTACAATTAGTTTGCAACAGCACCGATTACTGTACCTGGTTCCAAAAAAAGTTTGCTTACTTGCACACCTAAAAATCTTTTTAATTCCCTTCACACTTTTTATTGGCACAAGCGCAAACACTATGGAAGCCCGTTTCCGCCACTAAAAAAAAAAAGGATCCATAACTCAAAATTTCGATTTATTAACTCAAAATTTTGAGAAAAGCAACTCGCAATTTTGAGTTTGCGCTGCCAATCCGTAATCTACATGAATGACGTCATTTCCTCGTTACCCGGAAGCTGAAGCCCTCAGCTACAAATGCTACAGCTAAGCTACCGGTATTACATCCAGTCGTGAATGCACAGATTGCTGAGTGTTTTCAGCCTGGCTTCACAAATGATGAAATCCCTGTGTTATTAGCTGAATCACATGGTGTTACTATCAGCAAACGTACTCGCGAAAGCGCCAATTTGTTGGGATCCGTTTTTGAGTGCGCGTTCCTCTGCGCCATATGCTTCCAGGTGTATATTTTTGATTGGCAAAGCTAACTCGAAATTTAACTCGAAATTTCGAGTTAATAAGTTGAAATTTCGAGAAAATAACTCGAAATTTCGAGTTATGGATACTAGCTTTTTTTTTTTTATTAGTGGCGGAAACGGGCTTCCATACAAACATAGCACCCTTAACCAAGCAACTAAAATAGAGTGGTGCAAGAGGACAGACAGTCTCTTTGTGACCACAAAAACCTTGTCAGAAACCAAACCACAAACCACCTAAGCATATAAGTACTGCTTTTCTTCTTACTACTGTATGCAAAGGAAAGGCTCCACTAAAAAAAGAAGTATAGCACCAATCACCAACCACTCTGATTTAACAGTGTGATAAATCCTAATCTTTTCACTTCATGTTTTTCTCTCCAAAACAAGTGAAATGGATTAAGAGGCAATACAGGCAAGAAGGAAAATATGTAAATGTGATTCGGGGTTGTACTTTCCCTTTAGGACCCATTAAGTATGTCATTTTTTAAATCTCTTATAAATCAGCAATTACCAGCAATTATGTTTTCTTTTTAAGTATCGTGCAAAAAATAAAAATAAAAATAAAGGTTTGCAGTTTTCTGAAGAAATTGACCTGGAAATCCCCAGACTCTAATGTAAAAGGTCCGACAGTGAAATCACATATGTTATTTTGTGTTTTCACACTTACCAGCTCTCGGGGGTAACCAGCTCTGGCAAAAGTCAACACGGGATCAGACTAAACTACAAAGAGAGTAATGAGAGGAAAAGGAGTGCAACCTGAGCATAATTTGGAAACTATGTGGCATAATTTCCATTTTCTGCAGCACTGGAGCCTGTCCTGTCTCCTAACTGGCAGACGCACAGCAGGGGGGGCTTTAAACATCTCCCACAAAATATCTGTCCGTTCCCACGGTAACTACTGAACTGTTACCGCCGCTAAAATTGCTGGCTAAGATTTAATTGTTCCACTATCACCCCGATCTCCTGATTTGTATGCTAGGGGCAAATAATAGAAGTAGAGCAGAGTTACAAACGGATAAATGCCGTCATCTTTTTGGCAGCTGTGAGCTAATAGGCTGAAGAGGGGAAATAATGGCTGTAACACAGAATGCAGACATATAAACAGATGACACGATATCTTTATTTGTGCTCCAGTAAAATTGGCATCCTTCCCTTTTTCCCTCATGAACCACATTTTCCCCACAACATTGGATAAAAAGCTTCATATGTAGAGTTCATTTTGCAGATAAGTCTCTTACTTAGAAACTTGATTTTGTTTACAAGGCTATAATTTTGTCCATGTCTTTCAGGGAAACTTTAGCGACAGTGGCTAGGGAAGTGATGTCATATTTCTTTCTCTTCATCTGATATGGCTGAGTAACAGTAAGGTTAAAGGTCAGCTGGCTAAGGATCAGTCACATCAGTCAGCCTCTGTTACTAATTATTATTGAGGGCTTTGGCCTCGCAGACTAATCCCCTCTTTTAAACAAGCACAACTCCAAAGGGACAAAGGCAACACTATTCTTTGTGCCTCTCAGAATATTTTGGTGTGTCTGTGTGTGTGTCTGTGTTCCTCACAAACACAGGGGTCAGGTTTAAGAGACACACATATTCAGACAAAAACTTGTTACAGGAACCCAACAAAAGCTCTCTTACAGGAACTGTCCAAATGAATTCATAGTGCACAAACACTTTTTGAGCCATATCAGGGACTTGCAGGTATTATAAAGCACAAAAAGCTTCTTCTCACCAGTCAGATTATCATACATCTTTTGACTCTCTATCTTTATTAAGCATAAACGGAAGAGAAGGGGTGGAAGGAATAAAGCTCTTATTCTAATAACTGAAACAAGTAGCTGCCTGTGGAAAAACCTCTGTAAAGCGAAGTGTCATAGCCCTTTTAAACAAAGAATCCAGACGTGAAGCCGCAAAGAGAACTATAACAGCTTGATTATAGATTTAGCTACAATAAGGCAACACTTTGAAACAGCAAAAGAGGATGAACTGAGCAGCAAGCAAATCTAGCACAGCTGGCAGCAGAAGGGAACTGCAGGACACCAAGTTTTTTTGCGGACGATGTGGGATATGTGGTACCTTAAATTAAGTCTGATTTACGATTGTGTGCGTGTGAAAGAGTGGGTGGCAGGAGGATCAGATGCTGGTGGACTAGGGCAAGCCAAATATCTCTATAGAGGATGCGGCCTCTCCCGCAGTCCCCAATTTCAAGCAGTATTTCAAAAGAATTGGGGACTGGGGATGACCACCATTGGCACCACAGCCACATGTGTCTGTGCTGTAATTAAAAAGGACGAGTCTGATTATATAGAAATGGGCCTAAATCATCTGTTTAAAGGCACTGTTTGTTTGTTTTGTTTTTTCATTTTCATACAGCCTTTCAACATGAAAACAGCAAAAGCTGAAGCTAATTTGAACCTGGAATAAATGGCAAGCCAGCAGTCCATGAAGCAAACAGTCCCAAATGACCCATCAAATTTGCCAAATTATACTATATACAAAGCTCGGATTAAAAGTTAGAGTTTAACGCCTACCTCAAAGACTTCTTCATCAAGTATTCTTGTTCCAAACACTATAATTCCTTTGGTATCAATGACTGGTTGGGGACTTCGGAGTAACTTCTGTGTGGTCTTCTTTTTACAGTCCAGAATGAGGGTGATGGTCTGCTTGTGCACGCTGATGGCCACTCGATGCCACCTGGAATGGGAGGTACAATCAATTCACACACTTACTGGATTACAGGCCTCTTTTTGTGTTTGTCCATTTGAATTCGAATCTATCCATCTCTGTCTTCCAAAGTGAAATACAATCTCAAATCCTAGTTGTTAGTAGCGTAGTGAGGTTACGCAGTCAATGACACTTAAGGTTGAGAGTGACAAAAAGTTGCTTCCAAACTTCTAAAATTAAACAAAACTGCTGTCAAAGCCTACCATCATCGTGAGGGTCCACTCTAATAGAATGATTTAAAATTGTTTTAAAAGTAGAGCCTGACACGCTTTTTAAGTGTTTTGTACAAGTGAGGTGAAAGACTGCACTTACTTTCCGTCGGCTAGGTTGACTCCTCTGAAGAGGGGGTAGTCCTCAGGGCTGGGTCTGCCTGTGTGGTCCTCATACAGGAAGACTGGAGAGCGTCCCACTTCTAGACCAAGCTGCTGGATGCCCTGTTCATTGTACAGAGACAACAGGAAGGACTGGCTGCCCTTCTTAGGCTTCACTGTGGCCATGATGGAAAAGTCCTCAGGGAAGACATCACCTGGCAGGACAAATGGTGGGTTGGATAGAAAGAGAAAAACTTTTTTTTTTTTTTTGGAGACTTATAAGCAGCCGTAACCATTCATCATCGTAAGAGGAATGAAGTATGAGGTTTGCTTTTGCAAGGTTGTAGTCGTTGTGTTATTTTAGGAGACTGACTGCGTTCTTTGATGTCTAAAGGGAGTGTGGTTATTTTTTACTGATGCTTCTAATGGAAATCGAACAAAAACTAACAAATATCATTTAAATTGGTGGAATCAAAGATTTGGTTTTGCGCACCAAACGGAAACACCAGAAATTTTTGAGTGCCCAAAATATAACCGGATAGGATTCATCTGAACGGGTTGGCCGGTAAAACGAAAGTTAGCGGGAGGAAAAAAAGTGGATCGATTCCAGCGCAGCGCAGAGTGAAAAGCATTAATGACAAAAGCACGTGATCCCCAGAGACTTCGTCAAACTATCCTTCAAACTCCTCCTCTCCGCTTCTCTCCTCTGCCACAGCTGATGGGTCTAGCAGACGCCGAGACACCAATGAAGGGCTGGAGAGGAGCAACACATTTTTACAGCAGAAATAATGAAAGACACATTGCCTGGAAATGGAAATACCAGCAGTATAGTGGTATTTAAACGCAGAAAAATATATAAAGAGGATGTGTTGGCCTCCGTCTGCTCGGCTCCTTTGAGAAGCCTCACAAGTTCCTGCATTTTGCTTCAGTGTGGAAAACATCTGCCAGACAAATTCCTGTAGTGGGGTGTTCTTAGGACCTCCAAAAAGGAGGAAGCTTGCCAACTGTCTGTGCAGACTGTTGCTTCCCAGATAGTGCTAAGGTCTGACTACATTTGGGAACACAGATGACCTTTCAGAACAGGAGGCAAGCAGAGTGTATTAAAGCCACCACTGTTATCTGGATTATACTGAACATAAGCAAAGAAACCACTTGAATTCCAGTTGTAATCTCCAGTCTTTAGCATGTGTGGAGCAGAGATTTCCAGACAACCGGAAAAGAAAGGCAGGGTTTGTGGCTACAGTGGCTACGCTGGTAAAGCCCCTTACCCAGCCACCATATTCAGAATATGAAGACACTGCTAAACTAAACTGGGGAAACTTTGGTAATACTAGCCAATCAGACAATGTGGAGGAAAAAAAGAGGA